ATACAAAGGCCAGCAGCTCCTTGCTGCTGCTGCTGCTGCTGCTGCTGCTGCAAAGTCGGCTGGCGGACCTTTGCTGCAGCAGTAGCTGCTGCTATTGCAGGCCCTGCTGCTGAGCCGGTGCACGGGCCATAGGGCAGCGAATTTGCTGCAGCAGCAGCAGCAGCAGCATATGCTGCTGCTGCTGCTGCTCCTGTTTTGGGGCACGAACTGGCGCAGATCCAGCAGGCGCAAGGCTGCAGTAGCAGCAGCAGCAACAGCAGCAACAGCAGCAGCAGGCGGGATTCCCGCGTGTGTCCACTGCAGAGAGCCATGCGCGCCAATGTCTTTACCGCATTACTTGCTGTTGAATCTGCTGCTGCTGCTGCGGCTTTAGCTGCTGCTGCTGCAGCTGCTGCAGCTGCTGCAGCTGCCGCTGCGGCTGTTCCCTCTGAGCCCCACACAACCTAAGGGCGCGCTGGGTTTCCCTCTCCTTCTTTACACTTGCTGCTGCTGCATGCAGCAGCAGCAGCAGCAACAGCAGCGAAGAGAAAGATTTCAATAATCCTGGAAGCTTGTGGCTGCTGCTGCTGCTGCCGGCCCGCAGCCGACAGTCGTCAGTGGCTGTTGCATGCAGCAGCGCAGCAGCGCAGCAGCAGCTGCTCGTGTAAATAGCAGCAGCAGCTGCTGCTGCTTCCTAAAAGTTGATTTTTGCTGCTCTTTTCGACAAGATTTAAAGCTGCCTTTTCCTTATTTTTATTTCTTAGACGCTAGAGGCTTCTGCAGCAGCTGCAGCAGCAGCTGCAGCAGCTGTAGCAGCTGCTGCTCGCAAGGCAGCAGACAATCGAGCCTTGCACAAGTGGCAGATCAGCCTCAGCAGCAGCAGCAGCAGCAGCAGCAGCAAAAGCTAGAATAAGTGACGTGTTTATTTCTTTGCTGCACTAACAGCGGCTGCTGGTTGCTGCTGCCATTGAGCTGCTGCTGCAGCGTTGCTGCTGCAGCAGCTGCTGCTGCTGCAAATGATACCATTCCGTGCTGCTGCTTGCCGGCCAAGGCATATAAGGGCCCAACTCTTGCTTGAAGATTATGTGCACGCACAGCGGGGCCAGCTGCAGCAGCAGCTCGTGCAGCAGCAGCAGCAGCAGCAGCAGCAGCAGCAGCAGTCGGCTCAGCAGCTGCAGCTGAAGCTTCGCTTACCCCAACAGCAGCTGCTGCTGCAGCGACGGGCGCTTCCACCGAAAGCTGCTGTGAGGAGCTATGCTGCTGCTGCTGCTGCTGCTGCTGCTGCTGCTCCAGGACCTGCAGCAGCGTTACGCGTTCCTCTCCATTTGGTAGAAGGTAAAGGGCCCGGCGTTGCTGCTGCTGCTGCTGCTGTGCTGCAGCCGCTGCTGGCGGTTGCTGCCAGCAGCAGCAGCACAGCTAACGCCGCGAGTGCTGCTGAAGTCTCCCAAAGAATCCAGGCGTCCTTGGCAGCAGCAGAGCTGCTGCTGCCCTCCTGCAGCAGCAGCAGCAGCAGCGGAGGCACTGAAGACTTGTGGCACTGGTACAGCAGCTTGCTGCTAGGGTCCCACACCGGCAGCAGCAGCAGCAGCAACAGCAGCAGCAGCAGCAGCAGCACAGGGTACCTTGCTGCTGCTGCTGCTGACGGAGCGGCTGTCCTAGCAGCAGCAGAGTGTTTTGCAGCAAAAGGCTACCACAGCCTTAGCGCTTGGCGCGCTCTTCTTGCTGCTGCAGAGGCCTGCATGCAGCAGCAGCTGCAGCAGCTGCAGCAGCAGCAGCAGCAGCAGGACAGCATCAAGGCGGCCGCTGCTCACTGCAGAGAGCAAATAGAACGCATTGCGGAGCAGCGTGCAGCAGCAGCGACTGCAGCAGCAGCAACTGCAGCAGGAGCGACCGCAGCAGCAGCAGCTGCTGCTGCTGCAGCAGGGGCCCGAAAGAACAGCAGCAGCAGCAGCACAGAAGATGTGCTGCAGCAGGTGAAGCTGGGCAGCTTGCCCGTGCTGCAGCTGCTGCGGGCAGCAGCTGCTGTGGGCGCAGAGTGGCCTTGGGGCGGGCAGCTGCTGCAGCAGCTGCTGCAGCAAACAGCTCACTTTGCTGACTTCGAAGCAGGCGCTGAGTAGGCAGCAGCAGCAGCAGCAGCAGCAGCAGCAGCAGCAACAGCAGCAACGGCAGCAGCAGGGCTGGCAGGGGTTGGAGGAAGGGCTCACAGTTGCTACTTTTGCTGCTGCACTTTGCTGCTGCAGCAGCAGCGACATTTTGTGTACTTCGAGCGCCCGTGCTGCTGCTGCTGCTGCTGCTGCTGCTGCAGGTTGCTCTCTCTTGCTGCTGCAGCAGGTGTTGCTGCTGCTGGAAAAGAAGCTGGAAGGTTTTGTGTGGCTTTTGACCGCGAGCTGCTGCTGCATGCGGAGCCGCAGCAGCTGCTGCTGCTGCTGAGGTGTATAGACACCCAGGAGCAACTTGAAAAGGAGTCACTGCAGCAAATCATGCGGTGCGCTGCCCCTTCTGCTGCTGCTGCTGCTGCTGCTGCTGCTGCTGCTGCTGTTTAATCTGGTTGCTGCTGTTGAAGCGCAGCCTTGTGTGTGGTGCTGCTGCTGCTACTGCTGCTGCTCAGTCGGGTTGCTGCTGTTGGAGCGCAGCTTTGTGTTGCTGCTGCTGCTGCTGCTGCTGCTGCTGCTGCTGCAGGCGGCTGCACTGTTTTGCTGCACTGGGTTTGCTGTCTCCTGCGGAGGAGACAGCAGCCCTTCGGGTGTATGCGCAGCTGGGCCTGCGGCACAGCAGCTTCTGCCGCCACATGCTGCAGCGGCTGCAGCAGCAGCAGCAGCAGCAGCAGCAGGGGCTCGCGGAGGCTGACAAGCTGCAGCAGCAGCGCATGCAGCAGCGGGTCTTGCTGCTGCACTTCCTGCAGCAGCTGCTGCTGCGGCACCGCCACACGCTAGCAGCAAAGCCCGAGCTGGCTTTGCAGCTGCTACGCGCTAGGCGCCGTCTGCTGCTGCAGCCTTTCGACGTTTCGCAGCAGCAGCAGCAGCAGCAGCAACAGCAGCAGCAGCAGCAGCAGCAACTAGACAGCGCAGAAGACTTTATAGCAGAAGCGACTCGGCTAGCGGAGACAGCCTCTCCGCAGCAGCAGCAGGAGATCCTTTCCTCTCAGCTTATTCCCTGCAGCAGCAGCAGCAGCAGCAGCAGCAGCAGCAGCAGCGTCGGCGGGCTGCAGCGCGAGCTGTATAGACACCCCAACTACGCTGTGGGGTTTGGGGCCCCTGGAGACAGCCGAGCTGCTGGCAGCAGCAGCAAAGTGCTGCCCTTTGTGTCTTTGCAGATTCACGAGGCCTTGCGAACAGCAGATGCTGCTGCTGCTGCTGCTGCTGCTGCTGCTGCTGCTGATCAGGACCCCGCAGCAGTCGCCGCTGCTGTTGCAGCTGCTGCAGCAACAGGAGAGTCCTTTGAAAGGCAGCAGCAGCAGCAGCAGCAGCAGGGACCCATGGCAGCAACAGAACTCACTACTGGGCAGGCAGCAATGGTCCTGGATGCTTTGCTGCAGGTGAACTGCTGCTGCTGTTGCTGCTAGTGCCACGTGCTGGGCGTCCAAGTCTGCTGCAGCAGGTGCTGCTGCCGCTGCTGGTTCAGACTTCGGTGCTGCTGCTGCTGCTGCTGCTGCTGCTGCTGCTGCTGCTGGTTTTTGCTGCAGTTGAAGTACCACCACGCGTGGCCCGAAGTGCCAGCTGCTGCTGCTGCGCTGCTGCAGCAGATCAGCAGCAAACCGGAGCTGCTGGGCCTCCTAGACCCTCGGCAGGCGAGCTGCTTTTTGCTGCTGCTGCTTCTCCTTTTATTTCTTAAAATGCTGCTGCTGATTGTCTCCTTGCTGCTGCTGCTGCGTCTCTTTTAAATGCTGCTGCTGCTGGTCTCCTTTTGCTGCTTCTTGGCCCCACAGGTTGTTGCTGTTGCGCTGCTGTGTGGGGAGCTGCGGAGACACCTGAAGGTCTCCGCCGTATTTCTGGAACGGCTCACCAGGCGGTGAGCCGCAAACCCTAAACCCTAAACCCTAAACCCTAAACCCTAAACCCTAAAGCCTAGGCCTCTATGTCAGCAGTTTGCTGCCGTTATTCCCTTGTTTCTCTGTCTCTTGCCGTCTTAGTTGGCTTCCTCTCCCTGTGCCCGCACTTTACACCTGCCGCTGCTGCTGCTGCTGCTGCTGCTGCTGCTGCTGCTGCTGCTGCTGCTGCAGGTTCACGGGGGACCTTTGCTGCTGCTTGCTGCCGCCGCCTTTTGTGTCTCTCTTCCTGCGCTCGCTGCTGCATGCATGCACTTTCAAGACAACAGAAAAAGGCAACAAAGCTTTCATTAAAATCCGCAGGACGCAGCAGCACCCGCTGCCCTGGCTGCACCAGCAGCCCGCTGCTGCTGCTGCTGCTGCTGCTGCTGCTGCTGCGGGTGCTGCTGCTGCTGCTGCTCCGGCTGCAGCAGCAGGCGCAGCAGCGCAGGGGCGGTCCCTCGCCCTGCAAATCGCCTACTACATCTGTGCGCACGTCTATGAGTAAGCCTAGCAGCAGCAGCAGCAGCAGCAGCAGCAACAGCAACAGCAGCAGCAGCTGCGGCCTAACTTCCCACGCAGACTAGAATCCCTCTTCGCGCAACTATGCCCTAGGCCCCAAACCCTAAACCCTAAACCCTAAACCCTAAACCCTAAACCCTAAGGTGTGTGTCTGCAGATTCAGCCTGAGGGACCTTTGCTGCTGCATGCGCTCGCTGGCTTATTTGGGGCTGCAGCAAAAAGAATTTTTTGGGGCTTTTTTTCCTTATCTGACAGAACGCATGACGCAGCTAGCCAAAGCAGACGTTGTCAACCTGACCGAGGTCTGCTGCTGCTGCTGCTGCTGCTGCTGCTGCTGCTGCTGCTATTGCTGCTGCTACTGTTGCTGCTGCTGCTACTGTTGCTGCTGCTGCTGCTGCTGCTGCTGCTGAAACTCGCAGACACGTGTGCGGCAAGGCGCCACACACGCAAGCTCTCCCTTTCCCATCCCGCTGCTGCTGCTGCTGCTGCTGCTGCTGCTGCTGCTGCTGCTGCAGGCTTTGAATCGCGTGGGCTTGCTTGACCAGCGCTTTGACTTCTATCTGGCGAGGCAGTGGCAGACTCTTCTTGCTGCTGAAGACAGATATGACGACGAGGACGGGCTGCAGCAGCAGCAGCAAAAGGGCAGCAACCAGCCCCCGCTAAAGCGCTATGGCTGAACTGCTGCTGCCGTTGCAGCTGCTGCTGCTGCTGCAGCAGCAGCAGCTGCAGCAGCAGCAGCAAAAGGGCAGCAACCAGCCCCCGCTAAAGCGCTATGGCTGAACTGCTGCTGCTGTTGCTGCTGCTGCTGCAGCAGCAGCAGCAGCAGCAAAAGGGCAGCAACCAGCCCCCGCTAAAGCGCTATGGCTGAACTGCTGCTGCTGTTGCTGCTGCTGCAGCAGCAGCAGCAGCAGCAGCAGCAAAAGGGCAGCAACCAGCCCCCGCTAAAGCGCTATGGCTGAACTGCTGCTGCCGTTGCAGCTGCAGCAGCAGCAGCAGCAGCAGCAGCTGCAGCAGCAGCAGCAAAAGGGCAGCAACCAGCCCCCGCTAAAGCGCTATGGCTGAACTGCTGCTGCTGTTGCTGCTGCAGCAGCAGCAGCAGCAGCAGCAGCAGCAGCAAAAGGGCAGCAACCAGCCCCCACTAAAGCGCTATGGCTGAACTGCTGCTGCCGTTGCTGCTGCTGCAGCAGCAGCAGCAGCAAAAGGGCAGCAACCAGCTCCCGCTAAAGCGCTATGGCTGAACTGCTGCTGCCGTTGCAGCTGCAGCAGCAGCAGCAGCAGCAGCAGCTGCAGCAGCAGCAGCAAAAGGGCAGCAACCAGCCCCCGCTAAAGCGCTATGGCTGAACTGCTGCTGCCGTTGCAGTTGCTGCAGCAGCAGCAGCAGCGGCAATAAGGCAGCAACAAACCTTCGCCGAAGCGACTTGGCTGAACGGCTTCTGCCGTTGCAGCTGCTGCTTTAGCTGCTGCTGCTACGGCCCCTCTCCTATGGCTGCATCTGCTGCAGCTGCTGCTGCTGCTGCAGCTGCCGTGCTGCAGCAGCTGCAGCAGCGCCTACTTTGCTTCCAACGAGCTTTTATTGTGCCTAACTTCAAGTGTATAGACAGCATTGGGAGCAGCTACAACAGCAACGGCTGCAGCAGCAGCAGCAGCTGCAGCAGCAGCTGCAGCAGCAGCAGCTGCAGCTGCAGCAGCACCAGGAGCAAAAGCAAAAAGAACTACTACAAGGGTCTTTACAAAAAGCAAGAAACTGCAAGCCGTTTTTCATACAAACGCTGAAAACCCTAAAACCTAAACCCCAAACCCTAAACCCTAAACCCTTGGTCCTGAATTACAGCTGCGTGCGACCGCAGCTGAGCTGCTGCTGCGCTGCTGCTGCAGCATCTGTAGCTGCGAGCTACAGCGCCGAGCAGCAGCTGGTGCAGCAGCAGCTGCTGCTGCTGCTTCTGTATAGACGCTCAGCAGCAGCAGCAGCAGCTGTAGCGGAGTCCGCAGCAGCGGCTGCCGCAGCTGTTACTGCTGCACTTGCTGCTACTGCTGCAGCTGCTGCTGCTGCTGAATCTGCTGCTGCTGCTGCTGCTGCTGGGGGGGACTCGACACTGCATGCAGCAGCTGCATCAGCCACTTCTTTGTTGCAGGATCATCTTTAAGACTCGCATGCAGCTCCGGGTTCCTGCAGCACACACCGCACACCTGCTGCTGCTGCTGCTGCTGCTGCTGCAGTTACTGCTGCTGCTGCTACTGCAGTTACTGCTGCTGCTGCTGCTGCAGTTACTGCTGCTGCTGCTGCTGCTGTTCGCAGCAGAACTGCTCGGGCCGCTGCACTGCAGGAGGCTGCTGCTGGTGCACGGCTAGCTGCAGCAGCTGATGGGCCACCGATACCCGCTGCTGCTGCTGCTGCAATTGCTGCTGCTGCTGCTGCAATTGCTGCTGCTGCTGCTGCTGTTACTGACTTGAGAGCATCTGGAAGACACTGTCTTAAAGCCTCTCGCGCCCTCGAGTTATCCGACAAACGGAGATAGCACCTGCACGGACCAAACCCTAAACCCTAAACCCTAAACCCTAAACCCTAAACCCTACTCCTTAAACACTATTTGGAGGTTTCAACTACTGTCTGCGACCAGCCCAGACACTTTTCACAGCCGCCCAGCAGCCCGCGGCAGTGCCCTCCGCAGCAGCTCGCCAAACCCTAAACCCTAAACCCTTGACCCTAAACCCTAAACCCTAGACCCTAAACCCTAAACCCTAAAGCCTAATCCGTGCGTCCTGCGTAGGCCTGCGCTCCGCTGCCCGTCTGCGCGCCGTAAACCCCAAACCCTACACCCCAAACCCTAGACCCCCAACTCCAAACCCCAAACCCTGAACCCTAAACCCTAATTTAGGGTTTGCAGACCTGACGACGTGTTTAAGGAGGCGGTTGGAGGGACAATCCACCACCCCCGTGACCATGTTGCAGAGAACTGTAGAGACAGCATAAAACCTTTCTGCTGTTGCGCAAATGTAAGAAAGTCCCACTTCGTCCAGCAGCACCTTTTGCACTATGAACGTCGCCACCTGCAGCAGCAGCAGCAGCAGCAGCAGCAGCAGCAGCAAGAGCGGAAGCAGCAGCAGCAGAAGCAGCAGCAGCAGAGCAGCAAGAGATGATGCACTCCGTGAAGGTCTCAGGGTTGAGACGTCGTGGGCGCAGCTAGGCTACGGTTTAGCCTTCACAGAAACCCTATTTTAGGGTTTAGGGTTTAGGGCTTCCGCGGGCGAAACGCAGCAGCTCCTGGGAAGCTGCAAGCTGCTTGCTTCTCGGGTTTAAGGCTTGCCAGCCCGTGCCCCCTGTGTTTGAGATTAAGGGTTTAGGGTTTAGGGTTTAGGGTTTCGCGGCACTGGAGCGTGTTGCGTCCGCGCCCCGGCAGGGGTTTAAGGTTTAGGGTTTAGGGTTTAGGGTTTGGGCTTGAGGGGGGCTGCGAGTTCCGCCTCAGCGAGCGCCTGGGCGCGGCGCGGCGCTTCGCACCTGCGGCGTAGGGTTTAGGGTTTAGGGTTTAGGGTTTAGGGTTTAGGGTTTACGGTTTTGGAGAGTTCGGAGCCGGTTTCCATGATGCGAAGACACAAAGGCACGATTTCGGTTTGCAGCAAAAAAGAAACCACCGAAGGATCGTCAGCTTTCACAAGAGCTCCAATAACTCCCAAACAAGTCAGTCGCAAGTATTCAAAAGGTCTGGTTTTGGAAACAGTGTTTAAAAACGGATACAAAAACAGCGGAATGTGCGCTGCAGCAGCAGCAGCAGCAGCAGCAGCAGCAGCAGCAGCAGCAGCAGCAGCAGCAGCAGCAGCAGCAGCAGCAGCAGCAGCAGCA